CCCTAAACCCCTGGTGGTGGTGGTGGTGGTGGTGGTGGTGGTGGTGGTGGTGGTTAATGAGAATGTGGAAGATATTAATGGAGAGAAGCCAACAAAGTAAGAAACTAGTGACACGAAGGCTAAGACAGCAAATCACACAAGGAGTTTTAAAAACTACAAAAGAATAAAAAAGGAAATGGATTTACAGAATGGTCAATGGTATCGCAATGGTTCTCTTTGTTTTATGGCCCCATAGACTCTAGGCACGATAGCTTCCCAAACAACAGTGTGTGGCGAGGCATGGGTGATCTGGAAACTCAGCGTGACCGTGAGTAGTCAGTCCCTTGCCCCAGTCCCAGTGTGAGCATCACTATACAAATGGATGGAGAAAACCCAAGAGACAGTGAAAGGGGGGGAAATGAGGTCTAGAAAGGACAGGATCAGTAAAGATGAGGAAGCAACATTCCTAAACTACCCTCCCCAGCCCACTTCCATGAGATGCAGAGAACTGTGAAAAGAGATTCTTTCATGACCAACTTAGAGAACTGTTAGGTTAAACAGGATTATACTGGCTTCTTGACTGCAAGACTTACTAGAACCTACAAAACATTAAATGTATTCTCAATCTCCAACACAGGATTCATATAAAGAATTTTTTACTTATCTGGTCAAAGAATCCTTATTTTTCAGAACATCTTCCAAGATTGGTGTTCTGAATAATGCTCTTTGGAAATCCTAGTGTAGGATAGTAAGGCACAAAATAAGGGCCAAAAAAAAATGCAAGGGACAAAACAGAGTCAGTTGAGAGGTTAATAAATACTAATAAATTTAGTACTAATATTAATTAATAATTAGCTTATTCATCCCAGCATATTAAAAATGAGATGACCTTTGGGCCATTTAATTCATTTGGAATAACTTCCCATCATTCTGGAAGTACAGCTACAATCATGAAATTATGGAACATAATTGGTTCAGAGACAATAATAAAACCATGTATCACACTAATAGGAACAGCACAGTAAATTTCTAGGCTAGAGTTATTATAGTCTTTTAATTAATGGCAGCTACAAGCTTAAGGCATCCCCCTCTATTCACTGCTGCAGGAGGAACAGAAAAACATGAACTATTAAGAATATTTTAGTAGATGTCAAAGGGAAAGTTTGCTTTTGGAGTTTAAAGGTGGTAAAAAGCAAGCTCTTATACTCAGAATGTTTTGTTCTTCCAATTGAGTCACTTCCAGAGTTATGAATGGACAAAAAACTAATTGAATATTTTCACTTTAGTTGAATACTGCCCTCTGCTGGGATGTGCATACAGTTTCTAATGTCCAACAAGCATATAGAGATTAAAGCATTGTCTAGAGCAGTGGTTCTCAACCTTCCTAATGCTGCGACCCTTTAATACAGTTCCTCATATTGTGGTGATTCTCAATTCCATTGTTACAAATTGAACATAATTAAAGCATAGTGATTAATCACAAAAACAATATGTAATTATATATGTGTTTTCTGATGGTCTTCGGCAACCCCTGTGAAAGGGTCATTCGACCCCCAAAGAGGTCACGACCCACAGGTTGAGAACCACTGGTCTAGAGGATCTATAAAATATACACATTGTTTGAAGTTAGAGGACTTGAGTTTCTGTCCAAATTATTTTTCTTATCGGTTGAGTGACTGCAGTCCAACTGACAGCAAGGTATGTATTAACTTGTCCATCCTGTAGGCCAGTGGTCGGCAAACTCATTAGTCAACAGAGCCAAATATCAACAGTACAACGATTGAAATTTCTTTTGAGAGCCAATTTTTTAAACTTAAACTATATAGGTAGGTACATTGTTATTAACTTAATTAGGGTACTCCTAAGCTGGCCTTTGCTAAAAACGTCCTCAATCTGATTGAGGTACATTCGCTGAGGTCGCCCCCTTCCAACTCTCCCACCCACACTCGTCTTGTCTACTTGTTTCGTCTATCTCCTTTCCTTCACCCTCTCTATTTGTCCACCCCCCACTTCTTCTAATGCCACGTCTTCAAAATAGACTCGCCCGGGCCGAAAACCAACTTCTGCGCATGCGTCACAAAGTTTCAATCACACTGTAAATGCACGCCCACATGTGGTATTTTGTGGAAGAGCCATACTCAAGGGGCCAAAGAGCCGCATGTGGCTCGCGAGCCGAGGTTTGCTGACCACTGCCCTAGGCCCATCGAACTCAACCTAAAACTGAGTACATTTTTGTCATGATCCTGCTTCCTGTAAGGTCCATCCACCCAGGGACACACCAGGAATTGACTTTTTCCCTCACCATGACACCCATGGGACATACTACACCTTCAGGACAGAACCCACCTGTCCCCACCTCTTCACACTCATTACACTGCTATGATGCTGACCTTCTTCTGCATGACTTTCAGCAGCTCCCTGGCCTCTCCGATCCATTCTCTACACTCTCACAGTGACCTTTCTAAAATAATAATCTAACCTCAGTTCCTTCAAACAGCTTCCCTGTCAGGGTAGATTTCCAGTTCCTTGCCTGTACAAGTCCTGCTGACCTGCCTCTGTCCCGTTTTTGCCTCCTCTTACCTCTTACTCCCTCTCCTCTCTCTCTCTCTCTCTGTGTCTCTGTCTCTCTCTCTCTCTCTCTCTCTCTCTCTCTCTCTCTCTCTCTCTCTCTCACACACACACACACACACACACACCATACTCCAGGATTGCAAAACCACCTGCATCCCCCACCCCCACCCCCCCACTCCCCAATGCATCATGCATAAACTGGTTCAGGACTCTGTACTGCATATATTTCCCCTGTCTAGATTCCCTTCCCTCTATTAGATCACAGCTCCAGGGTCACCTCCTCCAGGAAGCCTTCCATCACACTCTACAGAGTTCTCATCGAGCTAGAGCCACATTACTCCTGCAGCACTTATCCTAATGTGCTGGGACACCTTGTTTTCCTGCCCCAATCTCGAATTGTTCACCCTGTAAGGGCAAGAACTTAGAATTTAAGTACATATTTAGACCTTATTTTTGTCCTCAATTCGTTCCATGGTGTAATACAGGGGAATAAAAAGACAAAAGACATTAATTAAAAATTGGAAGCTGACTTTTAAAAGAAAAGGATAAACAAGGGTGAGGGCTTAAGAAATAACGGTAATGCAAAAACGCATCTAGCAGTACCCTACACATTTGCAACTGGCTGGCCAGAAACTTAGCTCCAACTTTTCATCAGCCAACTAGAAGCAAGAAACCTGATCTGTTCCAGTTAGAGCAGTAAAGCCAGCCAAATGCTCAGAAGAAGCCAGCATTCCTGACATGAGACAGGAGAGGCTTCCCCTGCAGGTCTTCCAAAGAAAGTGTGAAGTTACCCACCGCCGCCGAGGGCAGGCCGGGCAAGCGGCAGCTCCCTCAACGGGGCCAGCACGTCACCCACAGGAGAGAACAGTGAGGGCCCTTCCATGGGGCCCCCACGGGTGCCGCTGGGTAGGGAGCTCAGCTGGTGAGCTTAACCCAGGAGTGTGTGCAATGTGGGTGGGCCACACAGGCATCCGACAATATGCCAAACACTTTCCTTCTCCAAGATAAAGTTTTACCGAACATGAGATCAAAGAGTTTAAGATTATACTACCTGACAAATACCTGGAATGCAACTGACCTGTGTTGCTTATTACAAGAAGAATCAAAGGTATAAACCAGCAGTCAACAACTGGTGGCTTAGGGACAAGGATCTCGTCCTATTTTCTCTCCCTAACCCCAGCATCTAGTATGGTGGCTCTCAGCCCTCTCAGACTGAGGCATCAGTAGGATTCCATGTGTTACGACGTGGAAAAGAGGAGTGACAATGTGTTGCCCCTTTACATGAACAGATAGTTTGTAATGCCCCCTCCACTATCCTGGATTTACAAGATAATGTACCCAAATAATAACCCTATCTTCACATATAATTTCAAAAAATAAAAACAATACTCTAACATATAAAGCAAAAGGAAACTGATAAAAGATAATACGTATTTCAATCTACAAAACCTTTGCCCTAACTGTCCTTGAAGACATAGTGATGTAGTCAGATTCTTGGAACTACTGTTTTAGAAAATAAAACAAAAACAACAATAAAAAAGTCCGAATCCATTCCATATAACAAGTATGGGCATGTGCAACGATAGAGGTGAGAATGCTCCCTAGAATAACAACTTGTGCTTATTACCAGGACTCCCTAACAGATCAGACCTATGTGTGTATGTAAAGAGGAAAGAACCTGAATTGAGGTAGAGATTGCTTGCCCAGGTAAACTTCTTAGTTGGAGAAAATAAGAAAGTACCACATCCTGGCAAATAAGCTGGGTGCTATGCACAAGTGCAGCATCAACATGATTCCATGTGTTGTGACATGGAAAAGAGGAGTGACGATGTGTCGCAAAAATTATATCTCCTGCCAGGACTCCCGCCTCGAGTAGATTTGTAGCTTCAGTCTCTGAAGCTTCCTCAGGACGGTGAACCACACATGGGGCAGGACAACCCGGGCAGGGCAGGCTGTCCGTACCCTGCAGAACATCCCGCAGCCCTGCCCCTTGCCTCTACATGCCAGGGGTGCTGCCCGCAGCCCTCGGGACAACAGAGATACCTTCATGTCTTCCAACTTCTTCAAGACCCATTACCCAGCACAGAGTAGAGGCTCCACAATGTGAAACAAGCTAAGGAACAAGCGAGTGATGAAGGACTGAATGAGATGAACAAACCGAACTTGAAAATGAGGGGGGTAATCGGTGTGTCAGGAGAGTGCCCTGAAGATCAGGAGTGTGGGAGGACCTGGCCCAGGACCTGGCAAACAGCACTCAGTGGATGCAAATTGTTAAACAGAAGTGGGAAAAGAGTATATTTCATGTGACGCTGTCAGAGGACCCAGGGGCCACGTGCTAGCCCACAACCCTGACCTTATTCTGCCTCTTCTTCACTGTGCACTTCAAGCCCAGGGAGCCGGCTAGTCTTGTGCACTTTCTGAGCTCCCGGGGGGAGAAGGAGCATGCATACCTTCTTCGGTTTCTGCAGCACTAGAAGGCATATCTGATTTTTCCTCTGGCCTGGTTTCTTGCTCTTCAAGAGTCTAAGGAAGCAAGAGAAAAAAATCACTGATTACCAAATGAGGCCTCAAATCTGCAACAAAGAGATAAAAATCACATTCAAGGACCTCGGAGCAGGGACAGCCCAGAGGCATGGTCTGGGGAGGTGGGGAAAGATAGGCAGCACCCCAGGAAGACGGTGAGAGATGTAGGGGGAACCTGGAGGCATGGGCCAAAACCGTCCCTGAAACTAATCCTCTCCTGCTTCCCCGGGTCACGACAAGGTTCTCAGAACGTGATATGTGAACCAAAAGGGAGACAGAGAACAGAAAATCTTGAAACCAGAATGAATGGCCACTGTTGCCCTAACCAGTTTGGCTCAGTGGATAGAGCGAACTCAAGGATCCCAGGTTCGATTCCGGTCAAGGGCATGTACCTTGGTTGCAGACACATCCCCAGCGGGAATGTGCAGGAGGCAGCTGATCGATGTTTCTAACTCTCTATCGCTCCCCTTCCTCTCTGTAAAAGGCCAATAAGATATATTAAAAAAAAAAAAAAAGAATGGCCACTGTTTTGTGCATCTGCCCACCTCGACCAACCCCCATCTGCACCCTAAGACACAGGGATCTCCAGGACCCAGATGATGGGGAAGGACCACAGCCCTCATGACAACAAGGCTGAGCATGGGCCTTGGGCTGCACGCTAACACACACAGGTGCAGGCTGTCCCTGGCCGAGACTAAGCTTGTGAACCTTAAAGAGAAGCTGTCCTCTTTGGAACCCTCTGTATTTTCTATTGAAATGGATTTCCCACAGCCAGTGAAGATGTGAAGAAAAACAGAATTATGTGTTACTGAGTCACATGGCAAAACAACCCAAGACTGCATCAGCACATGCTCCAAATTGAACACATGGGCAAACCTAGAGGGCCCTACCACAGACACAGATGCCTGCAACCCCTTGGCATGACATGACGTGTATCATTTCTCAGCATTCTGATGGACAAAATGCTGCTACAGGGAGAGAGCTAAAACTGGATTGAAAGACAGAGCTAAGGTTTTTGCCTAGTATTTAATCTTCTAATTTCTCCCTTCACAGTTTGGATATGTAGCACCAACCTGTCATTGTCTAACGTTTAATAGCCACTACAAATTTCCAGTCCACCAGTGCCAGCTGTAAGAGGATGTGAGGACACGAATCCTTTGCAAGTCTGAACAAGTGTGGCTCTGAGTGGGGTCGGCCGAAGGGCTCTTGGGTGTGGCACAGCACACTTAGGTTCTGCAGCAAGGTTTTGCCGTTGTTCTGGAAGCTGCAGATAACTATGCAATACCCAAACCCTGAGACTGAAGTTGCCTCCTTAGCGACACTGTGGTTCACCAAGGATGAATTAGCCCCTCAGATCAAGTCAGATATAAAAACAGACTTTTAGCCTGGCTGGTGTGGCTCAATGGTTGAGCATCAGCACATGAACCAAGAAGTCCCCAGTTTGATTCCCAGTCAGGGCACATGCCTGGGTTCAGGCTAGATCCCTGGTGGGGTGCATACAGGAAGCAGCTGATCAATGTGTCTCTCTCATCCATGTCTCTATCTCTCTATTCCTCTCCTTTCCTCGCTCTCTAAAAGCAATAAAAACATATTAAAAATAGACTTTTAGAAATCTAAGACTTAAGAAAGCATGAATACTTATAATAATGCATAATCTCATATTTGTTACCCCAAATTGTAAAGCTTTGGTGTGGATAACCTATATAACAATTACCACCTGTTCACGTTTAAAATAACATCTAACCAAGTAAGAAATATGAGCCACCAAAAAATTTAGATTCAATAATCCCATAAAAACATTTGGTGGGCAGGTAAGAATTAATGCCTTTGGATGTTCTAAAGAATCAGCCTTGCTCCCTCCTGGTCTCCCCAATCACTACGCAGCCACACCCCTCGGGGTAGGAAGAAAAAGAGGGGTGCTAAGACCGGGAACAAAAGGCCATGCCATTGTAACTGATTCTTTTATCAACGTTACGTCATAAACAAACTTTCTCAGTGTTGTTCATGAAGTGAAAATCTCCAAGTAACTGGAAAGCAATTTCCATTTGGTCTTTGTTATTGTAAAGTTCACTATGAAAGAATATTAAAGCATCTACATTTACTCCTCCTAAATCTTCCCCAAGGTTGATCAGTCCTATCTCAAATGTGTTATGCAAAATCACAAATCCAAACTAAGAAGTTGGAGGATTTTATAATGGAAAGAAAGTCCAATAATGTTTGCTGTACACAGAGCTTGCTTCATCCTACTCAGGAGTGTGTCACCAGGTGCCGTGCTGCCATCTGAGGACACACATGTTGCTGAGCTCCGCCCTGAAGGGCCTACACGGAGCAGAGTGCATCTCGAGCAGTGCTGCTTCCCAGGCCACGCCTGTGCCCGGCCAGGACAGCCACACCAGGTGCCAGGGGAGAAGCGCAGGGATGGCTGAAGGCTTAGAATCTTTAAATGACAAGTACCTGTAAGCAAAACAGGAAACACCGTATGCCAGAAAATTACACACTAAATGTCCTAAAACCCAACAAAAGGAAGTAGTTCATACTCTGAAGAGCATGTTTCACTCTAGTTGTTTAAATAAAACCCTATATGGTTGGTTTAAATAAAAGCCAACAATAATCTGCATTTTAGAGATAATGTTTTGAGCTAAATCTTTCATTTGGCAAGAACTGTGGTAAGCAACAAGATGAGCCTCCTGAACTGTGTGCTCTGTGTAGTCTATACCCCATAAAGCCGAGCCTTATGAATGGACATGCTTGAGAGCACAGGGTCACGGGATCTGTGGGTGGACCCTGACGCCCCTGAGCACTCTCAACTAGACTGACTCAGCCCTTTTACTCAAAAGAACATTTTGCTTAATAATAATTAAGAGATGTCAATATTCTTTATATTCTTCCAGATTCCATCCAAAAAATAAAAATAGTGAAGATGAAACATCTTAAACCCTGAGAAGGGTATGCTATGATGGCACTCAATGCTGTGTGTGGGGCCTGGGGGGGCTGGGGGAACTTCTCTGAAAAAGAACTGGTTTCAAGTGTCGAGACCCCTCTCAGGAAGAATCTGTACCCTGGGACAAATGCTTAACTACACCTAAGCCATAAGAAACCCACAGTAGATATTACACAAGTAACATTACCCTAAATACACTGCTTTAGATAAGAATTACAGCATAACCAATACATTAATAGAAAATATCCAATGTCAGAATTTTTAAAGTCCACCAATGACAAAGCAAGCTCATAAAAAGCAAAAGAAACAAGAACACTATATGAATTCCTATTTTCTACTACCCAAATATTACATAATAATCTTCATTCTCCTGTGTAACAGTTTCCAATTCCCTGCCCCCCAAGCTTCTATTAGGAAAATGCTGTCCCCCAAACAATGAGTGCTGCCTGCACTCGCCGGGCGCGGGTTATTGTACACTAGAATCACGGGGCACAAACCTTGACGAGAAAGGCTCTATCCCAAAAGTATTTCCTGAAGAGTTTAATGTCTGCCTCCAACAAATGCTCGGCCGTGTGGTGGAGTGTCAGGGTCAGCGTTCCTGAGGCGTGGATATACTGCAGGAAGGCATCTTCGCTGAGCTGCACTCGGGAGAAGCCTGGGGAACGTCTGCCCTGGAAACTGAACGCCACAAATCAAAACCCACACACAGCTTAGGAAGCACCCGCCTCCAAATCCCACTGCCCCTGATATCACAAATCCAACTGGCAAACAGGTCCTCGAAAGCCACCTGCTGACAGTACCAGTAAGTACATAGTCATGGAAACAGGCCCTAATAGAGCCATCTTTCTTTTTCCACCGAGAGGAGATATCAATTGAAAAGCCATTTACATATATCATATACCTTAAAGATTTATATAAATAATGAAACAGTATTGACTTTATCTCAATATTTCATTCTCCTTTCAATCTGAAAAGATGCCTCTCCCTTTAACGGGGCCCCAAGTAGAACAAATTAGCAGGCAGCCACCAGTTTATTAGATGATTACAGTGGAAAACAGACAGGCTCTCCAGGGAACATGGTAAGGTTTGGATGTTACAAACAGTGAGATATTCAAAACACACTGGCCTGCTGCTGTAAGTCATTTTCTCATGCAAATGAAAACATGCATAAATTTGATCCTATTTCATTCTTGAATACACTCCCATAAACAAAGACACAATATTCCCAAACTAAGTTCCTGAATATCCACTTATTTCCTGTTCTGTTTTGGATAAGAACAGTTCCGCATTTATTGGCTACATGTAGGCTTCATGGGTAGTATCATAGTATTCGGGATGGCTTATCAGCTGATGCGATAAAAAGAATAAAGAAACCTCAGGAGGAAAATGTGAGTGGCTCCCAGGTGACAGCCCTCAGCATGTCACACCCCCGCAGCTCGCTCCCAGGTTCCCTGTGTCACAGAACTCGTGCTCTGCCTCTTTCCTCTCCACGGCCTCATTCTGTTCACAAACGTGTGTCTTTCAGAAACACAGTGTACTTCCAATCCAATAAGTGTTATCTCCATCATAGGGAGTGACAGGAAGAGATCCAGAAAGAGCACTTATGCTCTAAGGTTTGGGGCATCTTCCTAACCTCTTGGCACTAATAACTGGCAGGGTCTCCAGAATCGTCCAGGAAACAACTTCCTATTCCAATGACAAGCTGCTGAGACAAATGGACAATGGCCTTGGAGCCTGAGCAATCAGATCACTGCTATTAATTTAGAAAATGGAAGCTCTAAATTTAGCTGACAGTCAGTCTACTTCTAATCCCACCCATGAATGGATTTATTAGAGGTGTAAACTTTTAAAACACATAATATCTTCTGGCCTTGGGCCCAGAAGAAAAATAAAAGCTACAAGATGAAGAAGTCAGCCTCCAGGATGTCAATGGAACAGGCACTAATCGAAAGAAGCAGTCCTGCTGGGTCATGGCAGAGCAAAGAAAAGGGCAATTCTCTGTGGGTGGGTTATTTCCTTGGTTGGTGGCCATTTGACCAAGTGAGGGGGGGAACACACACAAAAAAGAAAGCTCTGACTTCTACTCCAAGACCCATATATGGCACACCCAGTGTGGCTCAGTGGTTGAGTATGGACCTATGAACCAGGAGGTCACGGTTCGATTCCCGGTCAGGACATGTGCCCAGGTTGCAGGCTTGATCCCCAGTGAGGGGGTGCAGGAGGCAGCCAATCAATGCTTCTCTCTCATCATTGATGTTTCTCTCTCTCTCTCTCTTTTCCTGAGATCAATAAAAATATATTTTTTATAAAGATCCATGAATGGATCATAAAACCATAAATTAATTACATTGAGTTCTATGAGCCAAACAAGAAAAACAAGTCCATTAATACTATAACAATGCTGACAACACTTAATATTTATGTAGCACTTTGGAATTTTTAATATACCTTCCCATTTGCCTGAAGGATGTTTTTTACCACATGTTAAGTGAAGAAAATTGCCATATATGAATCCTCTTTTCATTGCTTAAGAATAATGACCAATCTGAACCATGTAACAATATACTCATAATTCACTGAAAGTGTGGATATTATCATCAACATAGACAACATTACAGCTGATAAATTATTTCACTAGATCCTGATAACCACCCATTGACTTTATAGTGTTTTAGGGTTTGTCTGTCAGTCATTGGTTCAACAAAAACTTACATTTTTTCAGTGAGTGTTATGTGCTGAACACGGGGGTGGGTAAAACATAAATGGTTTCACCTCTCAGATTTAGGAGGGAGACATATGAAACAGGTGATCACTATATATGTAAAATTCTAAATTACAGTGAATATTGTGAATAATTTTAGTCACAATTACTACTGTGAATTAATAATCATAAAGGACCATAACACAAAAGGCATTTCGGAAGAAGTGATATGTAAGCTGAAACCCCCAAAATAAGTAGGGGTTATTAATTATTATTAAGTATAGCTACCTATAGAGACTTTGAGACTTTTTTCCCTGCCTCTTCCTCCCCCATAAAGTGTTAATGCCAAATATACCTGTATATCTGTGTATGTACTTTATACATGAGAACTAAAGGTAAAACATAAACCAGTATTAGCTTGTGGTTTGGTTATCTCAATTTTTTCCATAATGCTCTGCAGACCTTATAGAAACAGATTACGAGAGAAACTACCAAGTAGCCAGACTCACTTTGTGATGCTGTCAGCCAGCGTGGAGTGCCCGCCATTTAAAGCTAAGTCTACTGGCGTGGTACCCTCTTCATTGGGTAAAGCCAAGGCCTGAACGCCCCCCGGGAGACACACAAGGAACTGGGACAGCTTCGGCAGGCCCCAGCGCACAGCCAGGTGGAGCAGGGACTCTCTGGGAAGAGTAACTGAAAAGAAGACAAACCCATGTTAGTCCGTTTCCAAACTCGGTCTCACACATGTTATCAGAGACCACGCATTAGACATAGTAAGAACGGCAGAGCTGGAGGAACCACCATAAGCATCGAATCCAACACCTCATTTACAGACGTAGAGAGCTCAGTGATCTGCCCAAGGTCAGGTAGCCCGTAGCTGCTGGAGCCAGGTCCCCTCGGTGCTGGTACAGGGTTCTTTCCACCACTAGGGGGCACGTCCGCATCCCCTTTCACTCAATTGCAGCCAAGTCTTCCAGGGAAAACAAGGGCTGGGAACAGACCACACTTTGGAAACAGACACCCTCTGAGAAGATGGTGCCACTGCAGCAGGGCAGGCTCCCAGAGGCCAGCGCTGGAAAGCAGCCTCCGTTTCCACCCTGTCCTCTGGTGAGAAACTGGGCAGAAATGGGCTTCACATGTCCAGGAAACTGGAGAGCATGGCCCCCCCAAACTTCACCCATCTATTAGATCTGAGGGATTATTTCAATGTTGCCAAAGCCACCCAGCTCCTGGTGTAGCTGAGTGTCTTGGTTTACTTGTGGTGTTTGCCGCTCTATATATCATGATTGTTTCCTGGCTGTATCATCTTACAGGTTAAGGGGGTCCTTGAAGTTTTTTATTCCTAACATCCAGCATCCTATCTGGCAAACTGAAGTCATTTGGTATTTGTGGAGTCGAATGGCAAAATCTGAGTTATGTGTGTGTGTTTAAAATGCCTGGTCTGTATAGAGTCCGTGCACCTGTATTTCTATGGCAATGACCCAGTGTCTGGAACCCAAGTCGTCCATGATAAACATTATGTTGGAAATATGCAAAAGAACTAATTTGCCTACATTTAAAAAAAGCCTCAGGCTGTGAACTCCGTAGACATCAAGACACACCTTAAAACAAGCCTAATCTTAACAAACTAAACATGAGAATTCTAACATTCAAGATCTGTTGGAATAAACATGCAGTAATTTATTAGATTATGGCTCTGTGTTTTCTAAAATGGTTGTACTAATTCATATTTTATCTGGTAATGAATGTAAATTCACGAGGGCTTGGTAATTTATTTTTCAATCTTCCAACCTGAATTTTTGCTAATTGAAAGGCATAATCAAACCTTATGTAGGTATGATAATAACCTTACATTTGGACTGGGCAGTAAATATAAATCACTGTCCTCAAGTAATAAGCAAACTGGCCAACCCTGCACATGGCCTCAGGGCCTCTGGAAGGCCTCCTGGTGTGCGCCGCATTCCATACAGCCTTTTCCTGAAAAACCCAGGGCAGGGGTGAACACTCTTAGGACCTTGATGTCTTTGAGGCGCCAGCCCGGTTTTCCAGGCAGAGAAACTGAGGAGTGTCCGAGTGAGGGGCCTGGGCTTTGAGCTGCCTCCCCTGCCTGGGGCAGATGAGCCCCTATGCCCCGATGGGAATGCTGACTGAACGACACGGCCTGCTCAGTTCCTTTTTGTGTCTGGGTGATCTTGCGCCCAGGATGTTATACGTCACACCTTTTAATGTTTGCCATTAGAGCAATCCTTAGTCATTCTGTTGTGGTTACCCTTTAGTTCAAATAACTCCTGGCACCAGCCAAACAGGAAGAGACCTATTTATTGGGGGGCAGGGGAGGGGGGTGAGGAAGGGGTGTTTCATTTTAATTGAACACCTCCACCTCTGCCAAATTGCATAACCCCTTTTCAAAGCTGGTCTTCCTGGCTGCTGTTAAGAATCTGAAACTCTCTAACAAGAAGCAGGATAATTTATATATGTCATAATGTTTCCTATTTCAAGCTGTTTGCCTGATTCTGTGCTCAGAACTTTTATACTGAATGAGAAAGCGCTCTCTTAAAACATTTCGCTCAGTTTCTTCCTTTTTTCTTTTTTTCTTCTTCCAACATTAGAAGATCTCTCTCCCCCTGCCTTCCATCTCCCAGGAAGTGGGCAGGTTCCGGAAGAGGGAGGGGTGGGCAGGGGAGGAGGGCGGAGAGTGCCTTCTGTTCTCTCCCATTGAACACGATGTGAGGATGGAGCCAGAAAGGAGAGGACAGGGAGCTGGACTAACAGAACAGACCTGGAAAGCTCTCTTGGTGGAGGAAACAGCTCCCCCTGTCACCCACCCCAACCCCCCAAAAAACCCTCCCATTGTTGGTCAGACTGAACACACACGTACACAATAAAAGACACAGTTGTGTTAAAGGTCCTCCCCAGAACAATTAAAACAGAATTTCTGGGTCAGAGTCCAAGCATCCATCTTTTCTGAAGATTCCCAAGATTCTTATGCAAAGTCAGGGTTGGTGTCTCTCACCTTAAATAAATAAGTGGTTAACAAAATATATGTTTTCTATTTATACCTCTGTCTTCCCAATCAGCTTTTAGGTAAAAAGTTTCACCAAAAAATAAGAACAAAAAACAATGTCTGTGACTTGGGCAAGTTATTTTAAATTCATATTACTTACTGCTAAGCCAGGATATGGCCTTAAACATTGAGCAAAATATTAAAAACTACTAAAATATTTTAACATATTAAAGCTAAAATGTGATGGGCACAATAATCTAGAAGTAAATGATATTTTTAAACACAAATTAATTCAGAAGTAGTTCTACATTGTAGGGTTTAGTAATGTTTTGTAACTCCTGAGTGGAGCCACTAAAATATATTCAACACTGTAAGTTTATAAAGAATAATTTTTTAATTCACATAAATCTAATTCATTAAAATAAGTAATTCTGGTTTCCAAAGTCACACACATGTACTTCACGGAAGTCTCAATTTGAGCATCTAAGTCATTCAGTAGATACGCACTGAATGAAACTACTGCGATGGTAGCCGTGAGGAAACTCCATGTTTTAACATGACCCTTTCTCCTTTCTTCCCGTCCGCTCCCTTCCTTAACCACTAAGTCCTCAGGACATCAGATTCTGGTCAGCATCAAACTGTGGCAAGAACAAAGCCGCAGGTCTTCTGACCACAGAAACAGAGTTTGGTCAAATTAAAGATAACATCAGCCCCAGGCCCATGACCTTGTGAACCACTCCCTCAGGAAAACAGATAGAACAATGCCATGTTTGCTGTCAGGATCTGATG